TGGGGTATGTGTTTTCGAATAAGCGGTAGAGGTCCGGGTCGGTGATGATGGTGGACATGTTGCTGATGAAGGACTCGATCACGGAGGAGTTGAAGGTTCGGCATGGGGGAGCAGGGCGTTGGTAGGGGAGGGCATGGCGGCCGGTGGAAAAGGGTTCATGGCGCGTTTTGGCGTAGGAGGAGTAGTCGGGGCAGTACGAGGGTGGTTGGATCTGGGCTTGAACTTGGGTTTGTGGTTGCGGTGAGGATTGGCGGGTTGGAACAAAGCCCAGAATTTGGGTGATGAGGTTTGATAGGCCCTTCATCTTGGTGGTGGTGGTGGTGAATTGGGAGTGAAGCTATTCGGGGCCCGAGTTCGTCTTAGTTCCCAGCACATCCGCTCCTCTTCGGGCTGGCGAAGGGAGATTCTGTTCGAAGAAGACGGGCCTGGGTGGTTGTACACCTCATCCATACCAGATGGCATGTTCAGTTGTAAGCTCCCTTCCTTGGAATCCCATGCAAGCAATCTAACCACGGGAGCCTCGCAGCCGGCCGATGACGATCGCATGTCTTGCGGAGCAATAAGAAACTCCGTATCCAAGACATGCCGATCCAAGTGGTCAAGCTATGCGGGGAAACCACCACATTCCAATGTTGCACGGCCATTTTCCCGGCCCAGTGTCACCGTACGCACGTTGCGGGGAGACGACTGAAAGTGAGGGATGTTGAGTGTCGTTTGGTGATTTTGGGCAAGCTAGGTAACGTCAAGTGCAAGAAACGATGGATGGCAGTATCGCGACATGTTGAACGGTCGTGGTGGGCTGGAAAGTGGTGGGGTTCACGACTTAGATGGAATGAGATAAGAAGTACGTGCGCTAGTATTCGCTTTGTTAGTGCAACGCCCATTTGATGGCAGAGCTACTAACAAAAGAGCTGAGCCACCACCTGCGACCTAACCAGTCAAAACATGCTGCAGATGTTGATTCCGAAGTGCAAGATGACAATGGAATTCACTGCTCATCTATTCCGCGTCTCGTGAAGAAGACATCACTTGAACCCCTCTTTGAATGGCTACACAGCCATATCCAGGAGCATCACCAGAACGGAAAATCGCATCACCACTCACTCCGCAGAAAACAGCCCAACCCTCCCCACAATCCCCGGCATCCTCCCTTCCCCCACCTTCTTGAACACATCCTCATCCAACGACAACAACCTCCCTTCCGTAGCCGTCTTCTTCCTCGCCATCTCCCTCCTAATCCCATGATGAACCGCATCCAGCACATTTCCCACCAACTTCTTCGGCCTATATCTCGGCTCCGTGCCCTCCTGATACACCCCCGTCTTGACCAAAATCGAATACCACTCCGTCCCCTCCCTCCCGCTCTTTTCATCCATGGCATTCGTCCCCTTGATATCACTCTCCGGCGTATCCCCAACAAAATACACCGTCTTCGGGCCTTGGGATCGCCCGTGTAAAGTCCCAAGCCCAAGCCCATGCTTCTCCGCCCGCCACTGCCTCAACAAGCGCTCAGCAAACTCAAACGTGCCCACCTGCGGCTTCCCAAACGCGTGCGTAACCAACTTCTTCCCGCCCGTCGTCTCCTCAAACACCGTCTCCACCATCTTGCGCAGCGCACCCATTCCCAACCGCACGTGTTCGTGCGCCGCCGACCACACCACATCGCTATGCGAGAAATAGATCGGCGGGCCCTCATCAAACGTCTCTGACCGCGTCTCCAGCCTGCCGCCGCGCGACTGCGCAATGTCCAAAATGATCTGTAAATCCGACGCCCAATCACGACTATCGGCAAAGACAAAGACAGCAGAGATGACGATGTCGCTTAATTTTCTTACTTCCGGGCGGCAGTGGCGGCGGCTGAACAAAAGGTCCCGCGAGGCAGCGTGTTCGGCGGGCGTGAGCCGGCGAAAGGGAGCGGTGCTGGCGTTGACTTTGAGGATGTCGCCGGGCGTGATGACGTCGTGGAACCCGTAGGATTCAGCGACCAATCGGCACGTTTCGCCTTCGCCGCCTACGACGAGGACGGAGCAATCGCGGTAGCGAGACGAGAGCTCGCGCATTGGCGTGTGGCCGCAGATGAATTGGCCTTCGGAGACGGTCATGTCGAGTTGGCGCGAGAGGTCGGCGCACCGCTCGGATTCGAATTTGCCGCCGCCGTTGGTGAGGAAGATGTAGGGTCTGGTGTGTGTTATGGATTAGTTACGTGCCGCTAGAATACCTAAGCAGGGGGTGTTGGAAACTTTCGTACACTTTGATACCGTACTCGTTCTCACCATTGAGAACCTTCATCGCCTCAATAGCTTCCGGGATCGGCTTCCCGCCCCGCACCAAAACGCCGTCAATGTCGAAGGCGAAGGCAAAGTTGCCTGCCACATTGTCGCAATCCGGGTCCACCATGGGGGTGAAGGGGGTGGCATCATCATCCCCGTCCTCGCTCCCGAGAGGAGATGGCTCCTCGGAAGTGAGAGAGTCGCTTGAGGACAAAGAGGGCGAGGCCATGGGGCTTCCGTCCTCGTGTTCTTGATCATGCTTTTGCTCTTGCTCAAAGTCTAGCTCCGTGAGCCGGTTTCGAGCAGCGTCAAACTCTTCAGCGAAGCTGCTGGCGGAGATCTGACGGGCGGGCATACCCGGTCTCTGAGGTGCGAGTGACGAAGACATGACGAGCTGGGCTCTTTTCAAATTGTGTATGGATGGTAGCGGATAAAGAAGAGAGGGATGGAACCGATGTCTTGCATGAAGCTGTTCTCGGAAGAAGATTAGAGTCGAACAAGACAGGTATTGATTTCCACCACCAACTAGTGAAAGTGGTGAGTGTAAAAGACAGGAAGGACAATGGTGATGGAGAGGTGAGCTGGTCGACTACATCAGATCCGACAAATCGATAGTTGTGTAGGCCGTCCCCTTATATACGCCTTCCGGGCCCTACATCAGCTGCTGTCAGCAGTTAACCAGCCGTCTTCCCAAGAAGCAAAGGAGGGAGGTAAGAGGTCAAAAGTGCGGTATTCTCCATTGTTTCCATGCATGAAACAGCTTCAATAACACATGGTTTTGGTGGATACACGGTAGGTCTGGGGAAAATGGAGAAACTGCATGAGGCGACAGTAGGGCTCAGGGAATCGAGCAAATAGAAACAAAGAGTGATGCTGCTTGCCCCGTTGTTCCTGGCTCCATAGTCGTCAAAATCTTCCCCAGTACGCTTCACCACTATCTGTTCGCTATCATGGAGGAATGTTGAGAATCCCCATTGATTTCCCCAGGGACCGAATCCGTAACCATGTGGCTGTGTCAAGGTACTGTCCGCCGGCCGTAGCCTGTGCCCCGGTGTAAGACTCGAATATCAATCCCACTGAATCAGTCTTGCATAGCGGATAGATAAGGTCCCCAGTCTAGGCAACTAGTATCAAACTAGTAATACTCTGTCGACTTGAACAAGTTTTGTTTCTTGGAACCTCAAAAACAGCTTATTTTGGGCTTGAATGTCGGAGGCGATTTCCCGTTCAAGCTGTGTGAGAGATTGTTGATGCCAGAGAACAAAAAGGAAGGGGAAAAAATGTTGCTGATCAACACAACGCCAACGAATCGGGCACTTGTGCGTGTTGATAACTGTCGGATCCCAGATTGTGATCGGGTCCCAACGGTTATCGAGCGTACTAAGAAAGGCCGCCGCTTGGCCAGCAATGTTGGTGATTGCTTGTGGTTTGACGACGGTGAACATATCTGACCGATTTGAGATGAAAGACTGAATGTGGAAGACGATTAGTATGCGCATAATGTGTGATAAGTCAGTGATAAGTCAGCCAAATACAGGAAGAGGCTGACACAAGAAAATGGATGTGAGGGGCGATCGGTTGCACAGAGAATCGGATGTATCCTAGATATCAAAACCCATTGGATGAAGACGGATGGCCTTATCCGTGTTGCTGGCCTGGTGGCTCTTAGGGGTCCAGAGAATAAGTCATGAAATGTATTCCGGGCAGTCGCATATTCGCCATGAAGTTTGACGTGCTCGTTCCTGGTTTCCCACATGCCTTGCCATCCTATCCTTTATCCTTTGACCATGCTTACACACCTCCTCCTCCTCGAACGACGGACGCAACGCCGATCCCAATGACGTCAACATTGGACCAACAGCTGAATTCATATAATCTGGAGGGTATACCAGAATTCGGTCGAAGTGTCAGAGCTCTGAATAGGGTCGAGTGACAACCACGGCAGGAACAATCACACAAAAGGAGGCGAAAAATAAAAGGAACAGATAGACCATATCAAACACAGGGACCCGCTTCGCCGGACCAAAGACTTCGGAGAACAGTCACACCCGGTCGATGATCTTGGTCGCCTTGGGACGGCATGTCCGTGACCGGCCACACTCCCTATACAATCCAATCCGGTTCCCGTCCGTCAGGTCCGTTAGTCACACTTCGGTCTCGGCGCCGGCTGCACGACTCGGAGCCTTTGATAACATGCGCACCCGGAGGCGGTCACGGCCTTGATATTGGAGGCTCACTCACCCGGCCAATGCAGTTATCAACGCCACAGGGTCCTGCTTGGCTGAAAGCTGAACTAGTGTGAATCTGATTTGTAAACAAGATGTGAAATGCATCTGGGTTACTTCTGATAAGTATCATGACAAGCAACACCATCGGATGTTATCAGGCCATTCATCGCCAGTGGTTCGGGCAACTCGACCAGAACTCCTAGTGTACGTATCCAGGTAATGGACCGGTCGACTGGACCCCAAAGGACTTGATTGGAATATCCCCCAAATACCACCTGTTCGGTGCCCGTCCATGGATTCATTGCATTGTAGTCAACAAAGGATTTGGATAAGTCTTGGCCGGGGACATTGTTACCTTGACCTGGCTTGCCTGTCATGCAGGCAGCAAACATGCGTAATATATAGGTCGCTCTTATGCACATCCGTTTGAGGGAGACCGAGATGTCCTCGCCATTTCGGGGTGCGGCGGCATAGTTGGTTCCATTATGAAGGAAGGAAGGAAAGGAAGACAAGACTTGGGTGAAATCCAAATAACCGCTGCCGGTCCGGCGATCTCACCGTTCAAACAAGTCTGTCATCGAGTCATCCATCTTCTTGCCCTCCCACGCACCGCACCACATCAGCGGATTCAGCCACTCCCCGACCCAAACACAAAAGTCCCCCAAGCCGAACTAGCAACCCACCCGCCCTCTTCCACCGCCCTCTCCCTCTCCTCTCTCTCCGCCCTCGCCTCTTCCGCACTCTTGTTCCAGAAAGTCCAAGAAGCTCCTGCTCCCGTCGTCGTCACCTCAACCCTATCCACGCGCAACCAGCCCTGCCGGCCTGCTGTTACCGCAACCTGGGCTGCCGCGGGGTGGTTGTTACTGCTGGTAGTACTAGCAGTAGTAGTGTTGCCAGTACTACCTCCAATAACTATAGTCCCCCACCATTCGCGTTCCCGACTTTTATGCGGGGCGTAGAGCATGCACTCCTCCATTCCGACTAAATACGTATGCAGAGGGGTAACGGGAGTATTATTGGAGCGGCGAGGAGGAGGACGGAGGATGTGGACGTGGTCTAGGTCGGACGGGTCGAGGCGATGGGTACTAGAGGTACCAGTAGGGGGAGAGCAGAACGGAGTGGTCGTCACAAGTAGTCGTAACGGATCGAATCGACCGTCAAAATCAAGGATAGCGACAGTCTTGCGGTGCGGAGGGGCGATCAAGGTCGCGACTAAGAGGTAGAGCAGTTCATGATGGCGGCCGGAGATGGAGAGGGTGGCGGTGGATGTGGCGCGGAAATGGCGCTGGACTAGCTCGTTGAGGAAGGGGATGGGGAAGTGTCTCGGTTCTGGTTTGGTGGTTGTGGTTGTGGGCGCGATCACCAGCTTTTGCGAGGAGTTGTGGTTGGTGTCGGTGTCCTCATCTTTGAAGTCGGAGTTGGCGAGTGTTGTAAAGTTTGTGCGAAGCGATGTTAGGAGCTGTCATGTTGATGCGACAAGGATCGTTAGCCATGATGACTCGGTTATCGACGAAAGAGAAAAAGAAGTGGAAGTTGGGAAGAATGGAAACCGTGTCGTCCGGACAGCCGCGCGCGGGCTACTTTAACCATGTATCAGCGATAAGGACCAAAAAGGTGGAAGACGGGAATTTTACGTGATGGCATCTCTCCTCCATGGAGTTCTCTCCAACAACCCGAACAACGAAAACCATTGACACCACAGTGAGCCCCGCGCGCAAACAGGTGAACAAAAGCGTAGAATCCAGGAATACGACGATCGATCATCAATCAGCTAGAGCATACTCCTTACCTCTTCGAGACTCCCCTCCTCAATCTCGTTCAACATCCGCGCCCCAACAACCGAAGCGACAGCAGCCCTCTGCATTGCGGATTCGCGGGTTCTCTTCCTCAACAATTGTTTTCCGAGTCGCGCCGCATCGTCCAAACCTTAGTACCCCTCCTTCCACGACACCACAGCCAGACAGACAGAATGACGCCGCCGTGTCAAAGCTTCAAAGCAAAGGCTTTGCCCACCCACGTACAAGTCGGTCCCGATCAGCGTGTTCGCAAGACGGAAGACGGTGGTCGACGACGAATTGATCTACTTCGGGATTGCGAGCTCTTTGGTCTGTTGCAGTATGACTGCCAGGTGCGCGACCCGGAGTTGAGGGAGAGCCAGATTGAGTGTTGGCCGGTGCAGCGCTTGTTTCGCAGGTATGTTTTTTGAGGGGAAATTCCCTTTGTCGCATTTTGAGAAGAAAAGGAAAAGGAAAAAAAGAAACGTTGACATTGATGTGGGGGGGGGGGACCAAAACATCTAGATGCCAGGACAAAAATGGGCCTTTTACGGTCGAGACAACGGCTTGGGAGGGCACCGCGGCTGCGGCTGCGGCAGAAACGACATCGTCATCGTTAGCATCAGCAACCAAAGCGACATCGCCCAGCAACAAAAGCTCATTGGCCGAGCAGGAGCAGCAGCAGCAGATCGATCATCGCACATGGGGCAGGGAGGACGACAAGGAGGATAGATGGTGGAACAGAAAGTGATGTCTTATTCTGATACCCATTCTTTTACAATTTCTAGTCTTGTGTCCAACAAGGAGGATCCCGTTCTTGATCTCCAGTTGCTTTGCATTGAATCATCCCGTCGTGTCCCGTCTAATAAACTAACCGGCCACCATCTTGCCAATATGAATCGGTCTATCACCAGGCAGAAGAGAAAGTAAGAAATACGTATCGGTCGGGCTGACTCGATTGCCGATGTTTGTCTATCCGTCTTCATCTGTAGATATACAACATGCAATTCTTCCTTCTTCCTTCTTCTTCTTCCTCCTCCTCAGGTATCGCTCCAAGTATTGCGTTACTTCTTCATCTCCGCGATCGATCGAGGTCGTCTCCGTTCTTCATCATCGGTCGCCCAGTCCGTAGATTGATTTAGGCGCCCATGCGGGCAGCGCGCTCCTCCTCGAGCTTCTTGTAGTAGTTGTCACGAGCGTTGGTGCGGGGCATGTGGTAGCCGTACCTGCGGGTGATGGAAGGGGTTAGATATCGCGGAGTCAAGGCACGGGAGATTTGTTCGCGAGTTCGTCTTCGGTTCGGGTCGCGTGCAAACTAAGTTCAAGTATTCATCGAGGAAATGTCGTACCAGTATGCGTTGGCCATAACGAAGCCGGCACCTGGATAAAGTAGAAAACAAAGGGTCAGCTTAACGGGAACTTATGATGAATAAAGGTGAAGAACAACGAAGGAGGTAGCTTCCGGGAAGTCGGTATGGCGGGGTGACAGCACGAGAGACCGTGGGCAATCCTAGGTAACTGGCGCGCGTAGCCAATTCACGGCCCACCGGCCGGCCGAAGCTCGACCTAGCTCTTGTGCTCTTCACGTCGCCGTGTTCCGCCTCCCGTCCTCGCCCTTCTCAGAAGCCACCTCTTTGTCATTCAGGAATTCCAAACTCACCGAGGGCAATGCCAATGTCGAGGATGAGGCCCCGGCGGAGCATCTGCAAACCCAACAGTCAGCCCCTAGTCCTCCTGTATTCCAGCCCAGCTTGTCCCGATCGCTGGTGGCATTGCGCAATTCCGTCATCCATCGTCGCGAACAGCCATCGAATCGTCCTCCTTGCGCGGGCTTCGGAAATCACGTACACCGGTGATGGGTCTGACAGCGGTGGCGGCCATTTTGACGAGAAGGGTTGGTTTCGGTTGGGTGGTTGCGAAAAAAAGGGCGGATCGTAGCGAAGGGTGCGCGGTTTGACGGCTTGGAACTCTCTTCTCTCAAAATGGAGCTTCAAGATTGTCCCGAATGGATGACCTGAGGTTTCGCTGCACGGGAGCTGCAAGCTTCATATCACGTGATGACGCAGCTGCTGAACGGAAGCTTGCGAGCGCCGGCAACTGCGGGTTTTCGGCAACTGAAATCTTGGATCACGGACCGTTCCCAGGTCCCTTCGTAGTGGGCTTACGTAAGGCTGGGGAGCGGCAGCACTGCTTTGAGCTTATCGATAAGGTGGCAGCCTTTCCAGTCACGATGACGTCCATGTTTCTCTACAGATCCGGACGGCAAGATGCACCATGTTGAATGCTGTCATGTCTTTCTAGTATTATACGCTCTCTTCAGGTCTCAGCATCTTTTTGTTAAGAAGCTTCGACCACAAAGCATCCTTCAGAATTGGTGTTCCTGCGCACCATTACCTTCCGAGTCCGCTATGGATGATCTTCGACTATGTAGATGCCTGCTCATTTTGAGAGTTGGAGGTCGCTAGTATGGCCAATCATGAACGGAAAACGCATTCCGAAATAGAGTCACCCTGTGTCGGTGTTCATATCCAGATCCTTCCAGCTTTCAAAGTCCGTTTTCTTTCATCTGTTGTAAATAGAGGCTGAACTGGTGAAACACCTGTGCTCTTACAATTGTAAAATGGCGGTGTTGCTCAGAAACCGATTTTTGTCGTCGATGGGATCGAAGGAATTCGAACCAGAGATCGAGGTGATCAAACGAAGCGGGCACCTACATGGACAGTCCGTTGGTAAACAAGACCGATAAATAAAATTTTGGCGGACTGCGAGACACTCCAAAGCTGTATCGTCGTCAGGACGGTGGCGGCTTCGTAGTTGTTGTTTGGAGTCACTTGGTGAAACAGTCGTTGTAAACGTTGTCAGTCAAATTTGCAAATTCTCTTTGGTGATATTGTCTCGGGCAGGTGCTTCGAGACTCAAGTGACAGAATGTGAAGGATGGCAGAGCCTGGAAACTCGTAATCCGTCACCGTCAGCTCGGGTATCTATCGTATTGTGGTGGACTTGGAACTTTTCCAAGCTCGCCATTTTCTTCATGTTCTGTTTAATCATCAGTCCGATTGCGTGGCCGGTTCGCCTGATGTTGAGAGGTGCTTCAGTTGTTAAGACTTATAAAGAGAACTGCAGGATGTTACACTAGTTGTGGTCAGTGCATCACCCCGCAACAGTTTCCGGGTCTCTGATTTCTTGCAAGTTCATCCCTTTCCTTTCTCTATTTCTTCGTACTCTCAGAATTCAAAAATGACAACGACTCACAAAACTCATCGCTTTCCATGGAACCCAAAGTCGACCACCGATTTGATCTGCGAGGGCATTGATCAAGATGGGGCAAACTGCTTCTCCTGTTTCTTTCTGTAACAGTTAATGTCTTGCCAGGTGCAAGCAGCCCCGTCAGTCACCAAAAGAAGCAAACACGTCAATGCACTCGATTAGGGCTCCGGGGGTAGAAGCGCCGTTGAAGACTTTGTGGCGTCGAATGTTCAAAAGCCATGGTCTTCTTGCGTACATCTTGTTCTGACCGTACAATTGAGGTTAAAATCATGGTCGTCGGGGCGTTGTTCTCCTTCGGGGCTCTCGGGGGCACACGGTGCCTACGCGGCACGGAAGGGAAAGGGTTCGTCCCGGGGCAGCGCAGACCGACCTGAACCCTGGGCGTTACAGGCGTGTGATGACGGGCGCTCATGAGAAGTTGAGAACTGTGGGGGGCGGGGATGAGGCTTTCCCCGCAACGGTCAAGCGCTGGTGTTAATCATGAAACATGGCCAAGGTACAGAAGAGCGCCCGGCCCCGCCGTTACATGTAGCGCTCTCCCGCTCTTGCCGCTCTCTGAAGCGCTGGGCTTGTGGACTCTGTGAGGAAAATTGGCGTCGGACGGTGAACTACGGGACGGGAAAGCTTCTCGACGATCGCCAAGCTCAGGGAAGCAATTCGTCGCTTGGAGCCGCCAGTAATATCTTGTGCTGGGGGTCTTTTTGTAGCTCACTGCAGAACGCATCGTCACATACACTACAACGACTGTTGGATAGTAAAGAATAGCCGCAAAGCCATTGACAGACAACCAGGGATTGTGTTGTTGACGGTCAGATGATGTTGCAAAACTCATCCTTGCGTGGATCGTCTGGTACACATGTGATGAAGGGAGGACGCTATCGGCATGAGTCGGAGAGGTATTAAATTGAAGAACGTTCAGTTCGGACTGTATTGACGATGACACCAGACACCATGATGCGCATCCTGCACGACACTATTATTCCCATCGTGGAGTATGCGGAGCGACTGACGATCTGAATGGTTAGAGTACCACTTTCCGATCACTCCCATTCTCAGTTTCTCATCCCTGCAAAGTAATAAATAAACCGGTGGTCTGATACATTTCACATATGTAGTACTGTACGGAACAGCCCTTCAGCCGCTTGAGATATGGCCAAAACCCGGTCTATAGCACGCGTCTAAAAGTGGTACAGTACTACAGGTCAGCCTTAGATGAGCCATCAATTCAAAGATAGATCTCTGTTACCACTCTGTGATGTAATGGCTGCTATTCCCGCTACAACATGTTAATATGTCAGCGGCACCGTCAATTCCAGGGACTTGAGATGAACTCCATCCGCAAAATAATCAATTCGTCGGCCGTGGTTCAAAGCGTCGCCAACATCCGCGTACCCACTTTCAAAGTCTTGGCAGGGGTTTGCTACAGAAGTGCAGGGATATCCTGCCCTTGGACCCGCACTTTTGTGTGGAGAGGGGCTGAGAAAGATTGAGAGGAATGACAAACCGCCCGTCTTCTCTCCCGCTTCAACATCCTCTCTGTTCATTCTGCAAAAGTAAAGTTCTGTATGGCGCCCTTCCGTCCCCTTCACTTAGTTGTTGTCACTGCACATACCATGACTGCTGCTGCCTTCTTCCGTTGTAATCTGCAAGGCATCTGGCTTCCCATCCCTGATCGGCACACATGAGCGGGAACATTCCAAGGTCTGTCCAGATGTGACATTCAGATTAGTATGTGCGCCTTCCTTGGGCATACCGCTTGGAACATACAGTAGCGGTACCTTACTTAGAGGTATTTTGTGCATCACCTAAGGTAGGTACATTACTTGTACGGGGAACTGAAATGTTTGGATCGGACCCGAGCAAGAGGCTTTAGTTGCCGTGATATCCCAGAAATGGCAGGAGTGGCCAGGGTGGATATGAACCAGGCGTGTACACGTCAGGTAGCCCTGTCAGTCGACGAAGTGAACTCCCGCGAATTCGAGACGGAAGCCACGAGGAGAAGGGCCCCATCCTTCCTTACCTAAAGTAGGTCCAGTATTTCATTTTCCCTTGTCGATATTGTTGAGCTTGGCTCTCTCTTATTATTTGCGCCTTCCCCTCCCTCTCCATACCAAATTGTCATTCCTCTTTTTTTTTTTTTGTTCGTGATGGCAATCTGACCGAGTGAGCGATTGCATCCGTCTCTGGTGACTTACATACCTAGTATCGGCACCGACAACGTCCGAGAGTTTCCGTCTTTTTCTTTTCACGAAGTACGCTCGGCAATCTCACAAGCTACACCTTCCATTCCTTCATTCAGTCATTCATTCATTCAGCCTTCTCTTCGTAGTCGCTCTCTACAATACCTGATCTCCGATACTGCCGGTGGTGTTCGGACGGGTCCTCCCTCTTCAATAGCTCACGATCCGTTTCTTCAAAGATTGTACATTCCTTCACGACTCACGTCATTTCATCTATATCTTTCGTCGCGTTTCTCTCCAATTAAGCCCTGATTTACGTTTCAGCTTGAAGGCATCAACAAGGAATTTCGAGGGTCTTGGCTCAGACAACGTCGTCACCGAGTTCACCTCAGACCGTCTTAGGAGAGACACGCTACAATAGCACGGTCGCCACCACCGCGTGTTGCGCCCATCTTCATCAGGACTTCATAACGTCTTGCGCCAAACCGTTTCCAACTTACACCACTTTCACTTTTCCCTTCGACTTCAACCACATCGATAGATAGCCATGTTGGTCATCAAGTCTCTGGCGCTGCTCGCCGCAGCTGTTCTGGTGACTGGACAGTCCATCGACAGTCTGCCCACATGTGCTGTAAGTGCTCTCACCCTTGGCTCACCCTATCACCTAATATTCAAGAGACGCGATATCCATGTATAAACATGACAGCGCGACTGTCATCACTTTCTGCTTTCCAGTGTCTGAAGCCTGACTGACCGTTTTATATAGCAAAACTGTTATTACTCTTCTCGTGATGGATTCGCGCAGTGTACTGGTGCTGATCAGGGTAACATGGCGTGCCTTTGCCCCAAGACCGAATTCTTCAGCGCCATTCATGACTGTGCGAGTCAGGCTTGCCAGGCTGAGTACGGCGCGGACGCCAATGGGTACGCTGATTCTGCTGTAACCGCAGCCCAGGCTGTGTGTGCAAGTGAGTTGAAACAGAACCTGGAATCGTAAAGGAAACAGCTTGAATAGATGCAACTGACATGGTTCAATAGCTGCGACGGCTTCTGCTGGCGCACCACCCGCAACATCAGTGGCTCCCGCAAACTCCGATGCTGCGGCACCGCCGGCGAGTACTACGGTACCCGGATCTAGTGCTGCTGCCTCTGCGGTGCCTTCTGCAGCGCCTACTTCTGTCCCGACGGATGCCGGGGCCACAAGTGCGACGGCCCCATCAACAGTAAGCTAGTAGACGACCTTTCACATCAACAAGAAATACTAACCTTCAAACCAGGGTGCCGCTTCCACTACTGAGGGCTCCGCATCAGCAACATCAACTGGTGCCGGCGCGATCGCGCCCGTGCCTACTGAGGGCTCCGGCACCACTTCCGTTTCTTCCCCGGCGCCAACCTCTGATGACAAGGGCGAGGATGATCATGCCGCTGGTGGACTCTCGTCAGGTGCTAAAGCCGGCATTGGTGCAGGCATCGGAGTGGGAGCCCTGGTCTTGCTTATCGCCGTCGCCCTTGTGCTTTTCCGCAAGCGCAGCACGACGAAGGATCACATCAAGATCGCCGATCCTGTGGCGGGTGGAGGCAATTTTGGAAGCGATCCGTACAACCACAACAATTTCTCGAAAGTCACAAGCCACGGCGGCATGACCATGATGAGCGAGAACGAGTTGGAGTTGAAGACTCATAGGTACGAGGACATGGTGCCTAGAGCGCAGCCAAGGAACATGGTGTAAACTTGCACTGGTAGTGCTCAAGTGATGTATGGGAAGAGAAATGATGAACAAAATAAGGAAAGACTGGAAGCAGAATCAAAAAGAACACAAGACCACAGCGAGCGCAGGCGACCAAAGAATAGGGGCATATGTAGCTGGACTTTGTATGACCAAAGTCTTGGGCGATTTGTAGACGGGTGTCGACACATCGATGGACATGTTGCTTGGGTTCTAGCTTGAGATTTCTCTGTATATATTTGGCGGACTCGCTGCAATGAACATGGTTATCCTGATACTGGAGGGTCATCTTGCAGTTGGTCGCAAGCAAGCTATTGAAAAGTGGACATGGTTGAAGTAACAGAGTAAGACCATTAAGAACCAATAGATATCAGCGCCACTGGCAGTCACAGTCGGGACACGAAGGACAGTCTCCAACGTCGAGTTCGTGGTAGGGCGTGAGAGTGGCTTGCGTGGTCTACCTGGGTAGCCATCAGGTGAATACCAGGTTCCGTCGTGACGCATGGGTTGGTGCAGTCGAGTGGCTTTCTTGGTATATTGCAATCTATTTTACAAAATGACAGGGTACCGTAAACGAAAAGAACGACGGGAAGAAGGGCTGGCTGGAGGCCTCCGCTCTCTTCTTCTTCTTTCGTTCGCTTAAGCATTGCCTGTCTGCCTGCCTGTCTGTCTGTTATTCGTACACATTTACACACAACACATCGCTGCTTCTTCCCACCATCACCATCATGTGATTGTATCCCCTCCCCTCCCATCCCATCAGCCACACCTTCTTCATTCCGTCTTTTTCCTTGACATGATGGAGACATCGATGGGTGGGAAATGGGCCACTGCATTTAGCGAGAGTGAGTGGATGGAATGCAGAAGGAGAAGTATTGTCTGTAATCGATGCATGGATTTCTTGTTCTTCTGCTACCCATTGCATTGCACTGCAACAGCACTGTACTGCAACTGCAACTACCAAAAGGCAGCAGCAGCAGCCGCCACCGACACATACATAAGGTACTCAGTCCCGAGCTGTGAGGTGGGAGTGGGGTGTGTGTGTACACTTGGATGGGACGGCACAGGACGGACGGGATGGGACGGGGACTGGACGGAGCCACTGCAGGCTTCAGTTTTACCAAGAGTAAAACTGGCGCTGGGAAGTGACGGGGCGGTCGGGAAGGTGAACCCAGGGACCTTGGCGGAGCTTCTTGGCGACGCGTTCTTGGTGTTCGCGGATGCGCGTCTTTTCTTCCTTGAGGACGACGGTCATGGCTAGAGGTGGGGAGGTGTTAGTTGTCTGTTACTAAGGGGGAGGGAGGGGGAGGGAAAAGTTAATGGAAGGAGGGGGAAAAGGCCGAACTCACTAGTAGTGGGCTTGTTCATCTTAAACACCCTGCCTCTGGCGCGATAATCGAGCTCAACACCTCTGGTGAAACCCTTGTTGACAAAGGTCTCGGCAACGTAGATGCGCGTCGGGTCGCGGATCTCCAGGTGCTTGCCGTCCTTGGTCTGGATCTTGACGGGCTCCGCGCCAGTCTCCTTCTGAGCGGCGGCGGCGGCGGCCTTGCCCAAGCCCATACCGCGCGTGACAATGGCTTTGGCCTCGGCCCTAAGCAGCTCCGTCTTGACCTCCTTGGCCATCTTCTTCTTGCTGAACTGCATCTGCACCAGGGCCTCCGACACCGTCTTGCCGCGGATCTGGCGCGACAGGTGCACCAGCTTCTTGACCGATGTTGGCAAGTAGCCCGTCTTGTACACCAGCTTGCGCTCGGTGCGGGCGATGCGCTCCGCCTTGGGCTCGACGCTCCACGGGTCCGTGCCGCGCTGCAGCTTGCGGATCACCATCTTGCGCTCCCACCGCACGCGCGAGCGCGGGTCCGGGTCGACGACGCGCACCAGGTGGTCCTTCTTCAGCGAGATGCCCGTCGGCGTCTGGTCCTTGGCGTGCGCGGCGGCAAGCTTCTTCTCGGCGCTGGCGGTCGCCCAGTCCTTGTGCTTGTCCTGCTCGGCGGCCAGTTCGGATGAAGGGGTGGTGTCGGCGAAGATGGAGTCGCCTTCGAGACGGCCGCGGACGCGCTCAAAGATCTCTTCCTGCGTGGGCTTCCGGGTGCGGGCGAGCTCGCTCTGCTTGAGCTCCTCCTTGACCTTGTTACGCTCTTCCACCTTTTGCTTGCCCCAGCCGAAGAGACTCCATTGTTGGGAGGGGGTGGTGTGGATGGATCGGGTGTTGATGGAGAGGGACTGGAGGGCCGGGACGAGGGCGTTGGCGGAGGAGGGGGCTGTAGATGTTGCGCGGCGGCAAGCCGGAATGTTAGTCTTTCTGAATTTACTTTGGATTTTTTGGGACTCGGCGGCGACGACGCCGATGATGACGACAACGACAATATTATAAAAGGAAATGCGATGATGGGGGAGGAGGGGTGGTGGTGGCTAACCGCTCTTCAGGAGCCGCCTGGACGGCACATTGAGACTCATGGTGCCGGTGTGGATGGCATTGGCAATCGGGGCCTCTCTCTCTCTCTCTCTAAACAGAAAGACTGGACGGAGCTCGGATCGGGGGACGCGACGAACGACGGACGGGCTGGACGGTCGGTAGTGGTCGGCCGGACTGGGACTCGCTGCAGCGAGAAAGTGGGACAAAATTCTCGACGGCAAGTTCCGCTTTCCGCGTTTCTGCGGCCAAGCAACGACGGGAGCGGCCTCTGCCCGAAGAACGGCAAACAGCGCTTGCAGGGCAGGGCCACAGTGAAGGGGAAGCCCCACTAATAAGGCCCCCCAGATGGTCCAACCCCAAGTCTTGGCAATTGTGTTGTTGAACTTCAACTCGACAGCTTCCAACTTCCACTTTGATGGGACTTGGTGTCTGCCCCAAACCTCTCATCAATGAACCTTCCCTACATATCACCATATGGACCATAATTTCTTTTCACCATAGAAATCACAGTACCTCCTCCAATGCTTTTCTTCTTTTCCGCAAGAGATGTCAGAAAACGTCATGGTCTAGCGCAAGCTGTTCTTCCTCGAGATGCATTGTCCTGATCACAGCTATCCTGGGACACTCTACCGTCAACCATTGAAGAGGTAGTTTTGTAACATCACCAGGTCATGGAGCTTGATTCAATCTCACTACTTTCTGTCATTGTAATCTCTCAGGAAGTTGCTCCTCTTCACAAGTCTGACTTCTCTTTCCCTTGAGCACAAGCAGTTCCTCCATCTTCATGGTCTTATTGTTTCATGCTACTCTTCTCAAGGAAACATGGGATACCCACGGGAAAGTGCCCGGTCTTCTCTACTCATATCCAGGGACAGGACGGGCAGTTGTCAAAAGCAATGTGTATGCATTGCTCTTTACAGCCTCAACAGGATCATGTGGAAAACAGCATCTGGCAGTCGCTCCTGTAAGTGATGTGTTGCCGCGCAAATCCTTCCTCACGTCCTCAAGTTTATTTATTCAACAATTGCTCTTTTTGTTATCCCGTTTCCTCGCCTTCTCGTAATTTTCAGTCAGTTCTTTAGATCCGGCGTGGACTTTGAAAGTGTCACATTTACATTCTTTTCTTCCCCATCCCCATCTCCGTTTATCGTTTGGAGCCCATCCATACTTATTCGATTCGCCATCACTATCAGCCTTCTTGGCCACTTTAACACATCCAACATGGCTCCGACGTCCACAGACGAATGGCGAATGGAAACACGGGCGGTAAGGGATCTCTTCCTTCGAACAGACCTCCAAATTACACGCTGTCAACACAGATGCTAATAATAATCGTGATCAGGCAAGCTCCCCCGCGCCGCCATATCTCCCTCCGTACGCCCCGGTCGGTGGAATACCCACTATGGATGCTCGCGATATTATCCCCTGCAGTCTCTTTTTTATACTCTTCGGTATGGGTGCCGCTATACACATGACCGTGTTCCAACGCAACAAACGCCGCGACCACAAGTTCATTTTTAACATGCCACTCTTTGTCCTTTGTACGGCCCGGGTCATCGCAATCTCGATGCGTATTGCCTGGGCATCACAGCCGGATAACCCTCACCTTGAGATTGCTGCCACTGTGTTTCTCCTTCTGGGCGGCGTGATTATCATCATTGTGAATCTCTTCTTCGCACAACGCCTCCTCCGCGCGATCGAGCCACGCTTGGGCTAGAACCCACATGTGAGCAAGGCCCACAAGATCATCATCGGAAGCATTGTCACTTCCCTGATTATCATCATCGCCACAACGGTGCATTACTTCTATACCCTTAACGCCGACATACGCCAGGGTGAGCGTATCTTGCTGCTCATTATGAGCACTTGGCTAACCATCTTGGCCTTTCTCCCAATTTTCATCATTGGATACCTCCTGTGGTGCGTTGTCAGGCCGGTTTTTTTCCCCGCCGTTGAAGCATATCGGGTTCCGTTTGAGGATTTTGGAGAAGGACCGCTGTCAACCAAGACCTTTCTGTTGCTGTTCACTTCGTGCCTGAATGCTCTGGGCGCCGGCTTCAAACTTGGAACAAACTTTGATGCACGTCCAATCGACCACCCAACTTGGTACCACAGCCGCGCCGCCTTCTACATCTTCAACTTCACCATCGAAACTATCATCGTGTACGCTTACTTCCTTTTCCGAATTGACAAGATCTTTTGGGTACCAAACGGGGCCAAGGGGCCAGGCGAGTATGACCCAAGGCCGAATGCGCCAAGGCCGAACCCGGCGAGGCCAAGGAATGAAGAGAACCCAGAACCCGCAGGCGAAAGGATAGAATTGCAAAATCGTGGAGAGCAAGAAGGTGGCCGCGCGCCTGTGCGTGCAGCGGACCGTGATGCGGAGCGTGAAGCCGAAGACCAACCAGCTGTACCAGCACCCGATGCTCCTGGTACTCCCAAGCCACCCGAGCACGTTCTATCTTCTACTTTCCTCGGGGGATCATCCACTTCGGTGCCTCAGTCCTCCACGTCTGAGGGCGGGGCGCAGGCTTCATCCTCTGGGATCAGACCACCGCCACCTTCTTTTACATATTCGGGAGCCAATAGTACTTCTGGACTTTTATCCAGACCAGCGCAGCCGTCTTCTTCGTTTGTGAATGAGAGAGGTACGGGTGCTGCGACCGCCGGGACGGTTGGTAATACTGGCAACAACTATGCAACCAGTGGATGGACAGGACCGTCGCATCTTCGAGAAGGTGAGTTCAGCCCATCCCGTGGCCTGACAGTGAGGCAAGCTGATGAGGAAGCTAATAAAGTAGAATGAAGAACCCAGCGCCGTAATAGAAGGTGAAGGAGATGGCAGAAGTGATTCTTCGACCCAGCCGAGTGTTAGACCAGGTGAGTTGAGCTTGTCACTCTTCTCTTCTGTTGTTCCCCAGGCGTCTCTGTTTGGTTTCACACACTACACACATCCGTTCCAGCGTGGTATCTATCTCGGCGTTTCCCTCTCTGTTTTCCCCGCTTCGCCAGTTACAACCTCTCTTGTGGTTTCAAGCGGCTTATCTGTTTCCTCTTTTATTTTCCAGGAAGTGTTTTCAGTCGACATGCATATGCTGAAGATGCCGTTCAGCCAGCAGCGTATACTCCACTGACAACCGAAACTCTACCGATGCCGAACGTCTAATATCACCGGAGCAGCCACCCTGGCTCGGAGACTTTCTGAGGGAGTCACTTGCACGTTTGGACGAACCGGGCGGCGACGAACAGCGGGACAGACACGTACAAGATCAGGGCAACAGGGAACGTGATACACCCACAGGAACGGAGGAAAGGCCACGAGAGGAATAAGTGTTGGAGAAACGGGACTGAAACAAACGGAATGTAGAAGGGGGTTGGTGGTATCAGTATTGTTTTGTCTTTTAGTAATCATCAGCGGTTTTTAGTTTTGTTTTTTTCTATGGAATGGCATAATAGGAGACAGGCATAGACAGAACAGCGTTTGGAATTACTTGACAGAACTTTAATGAGAAGAATTGGTAATTGACTTGCCCTTTGCTTACGAAGACAACCTTTCATTACGTGATTGGAATCTTCCAACATGTTTCCTGAAGATTTATTTTGTGGCTCACGAAACACCATGACCCCTCGTTGGCATCTCAAGTTACTGTAGTAGTCGGCCCACATATACTCCCTATTGTGAACTTACTAGATGGGCAGTACTTGAGCCGAAAAGATGGTTACTACGAACTTTGGGGCTGCCAACATGAACACAACATCGGATGTCGCCCTACGCCAAAAGACACCATTGGTGACACATCCGGAAGCAAACACAACGGTGTCACTGTACATGGCCTGGAGGAACCAACTTGACGTCTCTCTCTTTCTGGCTCATTCTACACAGGACGGCTAATACAGGTGAGTGATTGAATTTCCACACGCGGATGAAATAGTTTCCCGAGTTGGGGTTGTTTCGGTCGTGGAGAACTGCCTTTCTTTCTTTCGGTTTTCTCATCTGTCTTTTTTTTTCCCATTCGAACTGAGTTTTTTCGACATTGCGTTATTCAGTCTTCTGAACTCAAATTCTGGGATCCGACTGTCCTTGGGATGATTGTTACCTCCTTTATTATTCGGTCTTCCTCGATCGCGGGAACTACGTTATCCACAGGTCTTTCACACTCCATGGACTCGTTTTCTCTGGGTCACTTGCGCACTACAAGGCCTCGTTCGTCTCTGGATCTTTTGGATCATTCCCGGCTCAGTTGGCTGGTTGTTTCTGCGCCTGGGAATATACGCGGGAGCTCGGATAGATAGGTAGATTACCCTCGAAGAAGGGGATAAAGAAGGGGAGGAAGAAGAAGAAGATGTAATCATGATGCAGGTTAGTCAATCAATCATTCGTCTCAATTCCCGACGGATCAAACTACCTACCTACCTTCAAGCCCAACCAACGCTCAACAAAACCTACCTACCTATATTCCACTTTGCTAGGTGGGTAGTTAGATACTAACTTGATTAAATCTTTTCGCTTGAACTCAGGCACACCAACTCACAAACACTACCTTTACTTTCTTTGCTCCTCCTCCTCCTCCTCCTTCTTCTTCTTCTTCTTCTTCTTCTTCCTCGTCTTTTACCTCCGCTTCGCCCGCTTCGCCCACTTCCACCCTCAAACCCATCTCCCCCATTGAACAACCAGACACTCAACAACAACAACAACAACCCTCGCAATCCCTTCCCACCACAGAGAATGACCCCGACGCCAACCCCCTCTTCTCCCCAACCGAAGGTCCAACACTAACAGCCATAATCGACACCGTCCTCGTTCTTGTCTTGATTACCTTTATTACCGTGTGTATTCTACAGTGGTGGCGAGATCGACGACGCCGAGAACGCTTCGAACGCGGAGAACAACGGGAGGAGGAGGAACGAGACAAGTCTATCCGCTGGAGGATTTCTTGAAGAGGTAATTCCGGGGATTCGAGGGATTCGAGAGTAAATGAGTGTGAGAAGTTGAGGCCGGGAATGGAAGAGGCAGAAAGAAACGGGGATGGGGACGGGAAAGATGGAGTTGGGGATATGAATGGGGTTTAGTAGGGAGAAGGGGTGAGAAGGGAGAAGGGGTGAGACGGGATGATTAAGGGATGGGCATGGGAAGGGAAATGGAAATGCAAAAGGAAATGGAAATACAAAAGGAAATAGAAATGGAAATGGACATGGAAATGGAAATGGGCCTTGATATGTGAAGGGAGAGTTAGTCTAGGTAGGGTTGGGGAGGTGGAGGAGAGAGGTCAAGGAGAATTTCAAGTTGGTTGAGTAGCTGAGAATGTCGACGAGGACGACGTAAGTAAAATGAAGATCAGGATGCTTACAACTCGAGGGGGGCGCTGAGGGGGTCAACGTTGGTCCCAGTCCACAACATCAAATAATAACATCATTCATAATACATCGTACATCACCGCAAACGGACACATCAAATGGTTCATCTTGGCCTTCATTATCATTCATTGCCATGTGGTGGACCAAAAATACGCTGCACGTAGAGGCTCTTTCGCAGTGACATTAGAATGCAACTTATTCCCATAGCTCCCAGTTGTCCTTTCATTTTGGTATGTCCTAAAATGAAAGAAAGCAAAGACGATACAAAGCAGTTCCGAGAATACGCCTTTACCATGGAATCCTTCGAAATTGCCCTGATGCAGCAGCAGCGGCGGCAGCAGCCGCACGACGCTTGGTGCGGCGTCGTCCTTCACGGACAACTACCGACAACCTGCGCGCAGCCAGCCTCCCGTCCACAACGTCCCCTAGCCAACCAGTCCCGGCTCCGACGTCTCCGCTTAAGCGCGGGACATGACACCCCAGGCACGGATGATGTTGTCGGTGTAACCGGCGAAGAGGGTCTGGCCATCGGCGGACCAGGCGAGGGAGACACACTCGGGCTCGCGGGACTTCTTGCCGATGTTCTGGAACTCGGGCTTGAGCTCGTCGACCTTGCTCTTCTTCTCGAGGTCGAAGATGATGATGCTGCTGGAGGTGGCAGCGCAGAGCCAGTAGCGGTTGGGGGAGAAGACAAGGGCGTGGATCTCGTCGTTGGCGTTGAGAGAGTAGAGGTGCTTGCTCTCGTTGAGGTCCCAGAGCATGGTGGTACCGTCCTTGCCACCGGAGGCGCAGAGAGAGCCATCGGGGGAGATGGTGACGGCGTTGATGTAGCCGGTGTGACCGATGTGGTCAGTCTGGAGCTTGCAGGACGAGAGCTCCCAAACCTGATTGAGTTGAAACTGTTAGTCGCAAATCTTCTTGAAATCTCATGCAGTTTGTGACAAGAAGTTCAAGATTTCCGAGAAAATCAGTGCGTGTGAAGTTGGTCTCATGGCCCGAGGGCTCTGAAGTAGCAAATACTATTTTGAGAAAAATATGCATGCATCATGGTGTCGGGATTCTTTGGGGGGAGTAAAGCAGGTTTATACAACATACCTTGACGAGCTTGTCCCAGCCGGAGGAGACAATGACGGGGTTCTGGGGGTTGGGGCTGAAGCGGACGCAGGAAACCCACTCGGTGTGGCCCTTCTCGGTGATGGTGAACTTGCAGTCACCGAGGGTGTTCCACAGCTTGATGGAGCGATCGCGGGAACCGGAGACGATCTGGCGGTTGTCGGCGGAGAAAGAGACGGAGAGAACGTCGTTGGTGTGGCCGACGAAACGGCGGGTGGTGGTGCCGGTGGAAAGCTCCCAGAGACGGAGGGTCTTGTCCCACGAGGCAGAGAGGGCGTAGGCACCGTCGGAAGAGATCACCTGCCGCGCCAATCAGTCAAACTGCCCGCGATTCCAAAATATCCACACAATCCTCCAATGTCGAGTATTTAACGTACACAGTCGGAGACGATGTGAGAGTGGCCATGGAGACGGCGCTTGGGGTAGCCGTACGAGGTCTCATCGCGGGTGAGGTTCCAGATGATGAGGGACTTGTCTCTGCTACCAGAAAGGAGCATGTTGGGGCTAATTGCGAGAGCATTTGTAAGTTCATGATCTTCGCGCGAGTATCTTGCGGTTCATTCGGTGGTTTCGTACTTCTCCAAAGAGGTGGCCAAGCTGGTGACCCAGCCATTCTGTCCAAGATAATGTGGTCAGTTTTCTGCATTTCGCTCTGTTTGCTTTTCCACCACATCTCTCTCGGATCGCTGTGCTTGCTGTCTGCTCTCTGCTGCCATGTCCCCATCATCGTCGCCGTCCAACTTGTTTCTCGTCGTTCGCAGTACCCTTTTCAGTTTGCGCCCATCGCGCTTCTTCTTAGCCCACCCACCAGCGCAAACGTCGACAATAACAACAACATGGCAGCAACAGCAGAAGCAGCAGCAACATCAGCGAAACGGGGGCGAACGGAAACTGGCAAGAAATAGAAAACTTACGTGGCCCTCCAGGGTGCCCTTGAGGATGAGTTGCTCAGCCATCTTGCAGTTCCTTTCTGGTTGATCAGGGGAGGATCAATGGGAGAATGGGGGAGCTTTTTCACGGTGCCTCTGCGCGGGTCAGAAATCGTCAAAGGCACAATGCGGAGACAGGCGACGAGATCGAGGAATTCCGGAAATTTTTGTGCGGCGGAAAATAGGGTCGGCCGACACAGCCAACTGCGGTCGCTGGGCGGTGGGGTCGGCTGCCGTCTTGGCGCTGTCGCCTCGAAATGGCGGGCTCACACTGTCCTTCCCTCGCTCCATTTTGGGGGCACCGACTGCAGCCCAGGCCTGCCCGGAACTGTGGTGTCGTCACTTCAAGTGCACTGTGCCATTGCCGGCCCGGCAAAGGCTGGCAGCGTTCAAGTATTGAAGTACGTACCTGCTTGAGAACCTTCACTTGTACCCGTCCCCGGTCGATGACAAACAGATTCACCAAGGTTCAGATATGGCTTCACTCGAAATTTGTGAATGGTGTAGAGTAATGCGCAGATCTCTGTATCGAAGTTCTGTTGGTGGAAGAACAGTACATCAAGTTCTACACAGTACACAATGATGTATTATGGGAACCACTCAACATCCGCTGTATAGACCACTGTCCGTCTATCTTTATATCTGTATGGGTATCTTGTATAAACTCGAGAATGACGACAAATGCTAATGCTCCGAATAATGCGCTAACCCCATAACTCCCCATGCCTATTTGATCAAGCAATAATAGCTGTATGCCATCTTCATAGCCATAGAACCATGAGCATGACACAGGTTGTGACCGCTTACTTCGCCTTTCTTTCCACATGCCATTCTTTCCAGCCTCCATGTGCATTCTTCTCGCAAAACCAGGGCCATTATCAAAGCCGACCTTGATCTCTGCGACTTCCTTCATCCTTGATCTGCCGAGAGAGATCACACGCCTTACTTGCCCGCCAACTCCCCTGCCAGCTTCCTCACCCCCGGCCTAGCCACCTCCTTCCGATAATACCCCTTCTCCGCATTCACAATCATGCTGTGGTCCGCAATTTCCACCCGGCCCTGCTGACTATGCATAGACGCGGGCGCCACCTCCCTGCCTTTCGCCTTGGTGTCGTCCTCCACCAGCTCGCGCATCGCCGCCTCCCACAGCGCGTACCGCTCCCTGCGAGATGGGTCCCGCTGCGCCGTGGCTGACACGTCCTTTTGCTTCGCGATCTTGCTGGCGCGCATGAGACGGCGCAGCGCCTGCTCTCCGGCCTTGGCTTCCTTAGCGGCGGCTTCGCGGATCTTCTTAGGATCGCCGCGGGGGATCTCGTCGGGTGCCAGTGGTCGTTGGGGAATCTTGGTGGGTAATTGAGATTGCTGGGCTGCTACTGCTGCTGTTGCTGCTGCTGCCTGGGACTCGACCATCGTTTGGGTCTGGGTCATGGTGACGGTGGCTTGTGTGTCGGTCATGATGCTGTGCTGTGCGGTGGTGGCGGCTTCAACGCTTTCGGGCGTGTACTTGTAGGTGTGCACGCTGGGGAAGGAAGGGAATGAGCTGGGGATGTAGTTCTTGGCTGCCTTGTCTGCGGCGCCGTCGAGTTCGGGATCGAGGACGGGAAGGTCGGTGGGGATGGCGGCGTCTAGAGGGAGATCCTCCCATACTGGCTGTCGCTGCTTCTTCGGTATCGGGGGTTTTCTGTGCGAGTAGAGAGCTGTGGGTGTGAGGTTGAAACGCTTCAACGTGTTTTCGAAGTCCTTGGGTATCGGGTAGGAGCGGCGCGCGGCGTTTGCAAAGACCTTGACTTCTTCGGTTAACGAATGGAGGTCTGGCCAAGGTGAGGTTAGCATAAGGGCAAGGTGACGCGGGGCAGCCTCAGCGCAGGCGGCATACACGTCTCCGTCATTACGGTAAAGCTCTCTATTGCTTCGGGCGTGGCACCGTCGAAGCCAACCGTCTCCAGCGCCAGCGCGATGCTCCGCCTCAGACCATTCTTGGCCAGCCCGTCGGGAGTGGGTGCTGTCGTTGCCTTTGATGAATTTCCGATCGCGTCAACTGCGAGAATTGTTCGTATTGATGTGTTGGTCTTTGGTCGTTTGGGTTGTGACGGTTGCGCTCCCTCTGCATCCACAGGTCTCTTGCGCGAGTCGGTCGCCATGGCTGATGGCTTGTTGTTCGCGGGAGCGATATGATACGTTTTGTCAATGGTATTGATATCGGTCGCTATCCCGTGTTGACAAAAGATGGTGACGCGGCCGTGTGGAGGGTGATGAAGTGGAAAGTTGATTTGGCGGTTGAAGATGGTTGGAAAGTCGCGAACTGAGAGCTTCTTGACGAATCGATGAGACCTGGCGCGGGTGCACCTTCAACTTGCATGAGAGCTGAATTGGGAAATGCATTCAACGGTCGGGGATCACCCACGCACAGGCCAAGCTGATGTCAAACCAGCCTTGCAGCTTGAGCCAGGCGCTAGTGCGATTTGGGTCTTGCCTGCCGGGAGCATCAGTTTACCACTGAGACAAGGAGAAGTTGGAGAACAGACGGTTCCTTCGTTGGTATGGACAGAGACAAAAAGACGAGATCATCAAGAGCATCACTGCACTAAGCAACAATGGAACTTTTGACTTCGTCTATAGGTATTGTTCAATAACGCTTCCGTTCTGATCTACGCCGTCCACTGTGGACCTCTCCTTATCGTTATCGCATCTTTTTCTGGGGCACGATGGATCCGCCAAGATGGAAAACGCGTTCCACCAAGCGGACACCACCATGCATCACACTCACATTAACAATTTGACTTTGTGAATGCCTTCACTTCACTCATTTGTATTTTAAACATTCACCACCACAACCATCGCACTACCTACTTACCCAAGTCAATCCTTTCGTTTCCACCCAGGTCACTACCACCACCACCACCACCACCAGATTAATGCACGACCTCGAAACCCTCAACACCGGCGGCTACGCCTCCACCACTCACCTAAAACTCACCTGCCCGCTCCCCTCGGGCCTGCCCCCCGCCATCCTCACCCTCGGCGCCACTCTCACGCACCTCGACCTTTCCGGAACCGGCCTCTCCTCCCTCCCCTCCGAATTCAGCACCTCCCTACCCAACCTGCGCATCCTCTTTCTCTCTTCCAACAACTTTTCCACTTTTCCCTCCGTCTTGGCACAATGCCCTTCCCTGGAGATGATCGCCTTTCGCTCCAACAGAATGACTTCCATCCCGGAAGGTTCCTTGCCGACCAAAACACTCAGGTGGTTAATCTTGACAGATAACCAGATCTCCACCCTACCCGAGGACTTGGGCAAGTGCGAGAGATTGGAAAAGTGCATGTTGGCTGGAAACCAGCTATCGAGCTTGCCAGAGTCTATGGCCACGGGATGCAAGAACCTGGCGCTACTAAGGTTGAGCGCGAATCGGTTCGAGACGCTTCCAGAGTGGTTGTTTGACTTGCCCAAGCTGGCGTTCTTGTCGTTTGCAGGGAACCCTTGTGTCGAGAAGCAAACGGCCGCAGCGACGGCCAAGGCGGGGACGAGGTTTGATCTGGAGAAGATCCAGTGGAAGAACTTGGAAGTGCAGGAGACGCTGGGCGAGGGGGCGTCGGGGGTGATTTCAAAGGGATTGTGGAAGCAGAGCGCCGAGTATGCCGAGGAGGTGGCGATCAAGGTGTTCAAGGGCGGCGTGACGAGCGATGGGACGCCCAGGGATGAGATGGCTGCAGTATTGGCGGCGGGGTTTCATGAGGGGTTGATTACGGTTTTGGGGAAGGTGGTTGGGCATCCTGATGAGGTTGTTGAGGGTGCTGTTGCTGCTGAAGAGAAAAAAGAGAAAAGGTTCCAGGGAGGGATCGTGATGCAGTTGATTCCAGAGTACTACGCGGCTCTGGGGCTGCCGCCTTCTTTCGATACGTGCAGCCGCGACTGCTTCCCCGAGGATGCCTCGCTGAGCGCGGCCGAGGCGTTGGGCATGTTGACGGGCATTGCTGGAGCGGCTGCTCATCTCCACCAGAGGGGAATTGCTCATGGAGATTTATATGCGCACAACATTCTGGCGAGCAAGGCGGACAGACATGCCTTGCTGGGAGACTTTGGTGCTGCTACAATCTATGGCACGGACGAGGAGGTCTACGCTGGCATGGAGAAGTTAGACGTTTTGGCTTTTGCGCATCTGTTGGAGGATGTGCTTGGTTTGATCAGGAGGGAGACGGAGAAGAAGTCGACGAAGACCCCAGAGGCGGAGACTGCCATTGTTGTCGCTGCCGATGCGGCTCCTCCTCCCTTTAGAGACAGCAGCGAACTCACGGAAGAGGAAGAGGAGGCCATTGTTCAAGGGTTGGAGAGACTGCAGAAGCAGTGCGCTGACCCTCAAGTCAACTCGCGCCCGTCGTTTGAGGACATTGCGGTGGAGTTGGAGGACTTGGTTGGCTTCCGAGGTATGATGCGTATTCCGATTCCCAACCTCAGCTAAGCGCGGTGTTTGTGGGTTTTGCAAACATGTATCTTCCTTATCTCTTGATCTTGTCCGCTGGTTACGCTTCGGTGAGTTTTGTTTTTGCTATTGTCACGATTTACACCGCTTCAGTCCTGCCAGTGACAGCGTCACATCTACCCTTGCTATGAGCTCACCGGTCCGAATAGCCTCTTCTATGTGTAACAACAAGCGAGCAAGCAATGGAAACCCACATCAAGCAAGGGAATTATGGCCATGTGGGTGAATGTTGATTTCCTTGCATGAAGCCATTGGACAATATTGTTCTTGTCATTGTCACGTCAGCATGATCGACGTTCACTGACTGCTCAAGTGTGCGTGAATGTGACGCGGAAACAGGGAGTCAACCATGAGAGTACATATGGTAATATTGGCTCCATGCTTGCCAAGTGGTTGCATTGGTCGTGGCTATCACGATGGATGTGTGACGGAACAAGCAACCGAATGGTGGATGATAAAAGCCAAAGGTCGACCGGGAGGAATCGATGAGAGTACGTTCATGAGTGTCCGCCAGGCTTCTCATAGAGCCATTAGGCGCTTGATGTCATTAAGGTGTAAAGGCTCAGGGGGGAAGAGTTGGCATGAATGTATATCGATGTCCTAGTCAAGAGAACAAGAGTGATTGGTCCTCGGCCAGACACATGCCCTTCTCGAAGATTTGCCGGCACCCTTGCTGAAGCGATTGGAGAATATAGCCGCGCTTCTGAGAGTCGTTTCATATCTGAATAATTAGTGAGAGGAGTAACCACAAGCTCCCTAGGTGATCACTGGCAGATAGCCTTTTGACCTCAACTATGTAGCCGTATCCGACAACCTCTTTTTCCTGCCCATGTGTAAGCCGCCAACCGAGGGTCGGATATATATGTAGGCACCGATATCGTCGAGCTATCTTGTGCATGTGGTGGCAACGAACGGAAGTTGCCGATGGAGTTAGGTTGTCCGGTTGATGGATTGCTCCGTTGGTTTGCTTGTGCTTGCGGAACTGACGACAAAACGTCAGAGGAAAGCTCACTAGGAGGGAAGAGGCAGAGCAATGGAACAAAGAAAAAAAAAAGGAAAAAAATAAAGATCAAGATGGCAGAATGGAAGGAGTGGATTGGTCGACGGAGGTTGCTCCTTTACCTTGTTCCATGCCCCCACCAAACCGTCCAATCCGCCTTGACGGCAGCCCTGCAGAGAGCTTTGAGACTGCAACCAAAAGCCTCCATCCTGGTCCGGGAAGCGCTCCCCGACCCCTGCAAGGCATCGAGGTGCCAGGGCCCCGCATCGCCGTCCTCTCTATCTCTCTCTTCCGTCTTCGAAGTGGAAAGAAGTCACACTCTTCACTCCTCCCATCTCCTGTACTACGCCAGCTTCATCACGCGTTGCGCATTCTTGGCGCGAGGGACTTGAGAAAAAAAAAGAGTCGAGTTCATCCATCTTCAGTTCTGCCGGTAACTTTTGTCTCGTTCACACCCACCAACCAATATCTCCAGGCGCAACCAGTGTTGGGCAACCCACGGCATTTCCATTGATGAACCACGGTCCCTATCAGACGTGAAGTTGCCAATTGTGTATATTCCAAGGTCTCCTTGATCTCCATGGATGGTCCAGAGACTAGTATCAACCTAAACTTGTCAACGTCTATTTTCTACACTAGTGGCCTTGCTATCCTCCACAGCTCTACCTCTACTCTACCGGTCCTCCCCCGGCCGGCCATGTGGTCGGTCGTATGTCGGTGGTGACGGCCCGGATATGGATAACCGGCCATCAACGATAGTCTCCTATCTCTACCCTCTTCAATAACTCAATCACCTAGTCATCTATGCTCTTCCGACACTCCTAGCTTCTTCTATTTATTTAGGTAATCAACACTCGACATTCTTTACTCGGCCGAGTCCAACCATCAACATTCAGCACCACTTATGTGGTGTAACAACAACAACCGCCATCTTCCATTCAGTCAGTTGTCAGCCAACATTCTACCTTTGCAGATTTACCAACAGCAACAAGCGGGCTCGACCGGAATGCTGGTCGGCACTCATTATATCTTTGTCAGCCCATAGGGATTGCTAGATCCCGAGACATGATGGTAATGACTATTCCTCCTCTCGCTGGCATCATACCATTCCGTGCCGCCCCCCCGTCACGGCATCCACGCTGACCCCATGAGCCCGGTGTTGTGCTGACATGTCCCGAAGATTTAGTCAATTATCAACTACCCATCATCCAATATCCTCTTTACATCAATCATCGTCCAACATATATTACTAGCTTTCACTTACTGCCGCCATGTTTCCCATCAACGTGGCAGCGATGCCTGCCCTTCCAACCAGAAAAGCACTGATAGTGGTCGACCTCCAAAACGACTTTGTGTCTCCTGACGGTGCCTTGCCCGTGACCAAACCAGATGGCTTTGTCGATCGCATTCTGGGACTGGTCAAGGTCTTCCGTGATTCCGGTGCCGGCGATGTCGTATGGGTTCGAAGCGAGTTCGAACAACATCGCGCCCTAGATACCGAGGGAGACACCATTATAGCATCCGATATACCAATGCGCCCTTCACCCACAAGAAGGCGTGCCAACTCCAAAGATCACGACGAAAAACTCATGGGAGCTGATGAGGAGGCGTTCTTGACCGTTGTTGGCAGCCTTGACAGACCGGCATGCGTCCGGAAGGGCACACCAGGCGCCAATTTTCCGCCCAACATTGAGGCTTCCATCATGCGTGGTCGCGACATTATAACCACCAAATCGCACTACAGCGCATTCCCTCCAGGCCAATCGCAACTGGTGCAACAGCTGAGAATGCGATTTGTGACGGATATGTACGTGTGTGGTTCCCTTACCAATGTGGGCGTCTTTGCGACCGCCCTGGAAGCTGGAAAACATGCCTACGACATCACTATCGTGGAGGATTGCTGCGGCTATCGGTCATATGCGCGACACGTCAATGCCATCCAACAACTAGAGAAACTCACGGGTTGCGATCTCCTGGACTCACCAGCCCTCATCGACAAGTTACAGCTCACTCAGCCCGGAAATTCGGCGAAACACGGCCATAGGACAAAGCCGTCGAGCGGAAGCAGGGATGTCAAGAAGCCTGGAAAGGCAGAAGAGAGCAAACAGGACCGAGACCGAGTCTCCTCCGCCCCTCCTAAGGCTTCAACAAGTCACTCGACGGGACTTTCACCAACAATGGCCAGGGTGTCAATAAACCTCAGTGATATTTCTCCGATCGAACCACTTGCTCCATCACGGAGAACCACAAATTCAGGCAGCTCTACCACGCCACAACCACGCCAAGCCACCAGTAACGCTAATCTACCTCTTACACAGCCCATGGTAACCCATGGAGATCTATCAATTCCTTTGGCCGACAGTCTTGCGCCCTTGGAAGCTGCTTCCGAGGATGACGTGGACAACATTGAGTCAGAGGTCTTGTCTATCAAGCGTCGGAACGTGGAACGAATTAGTCAATCGCTATCTGGCTCTCCGGGCGTACTCGGCGCGAAACTAGTTGATGGTGCTGATCCCTCCACATCATCACAGACTACAAGAGTAGCCGTTAAGCCACGACTTCGACGCGACAAAACCTCAACGAGCTCATCATCAAGTTCGCCGTCCCACTTCCAGGAAAATAACAAAGACCGGAACTCGGCCGAAGCGCTGGAACAAATCAAGGATACCCCTTCAACACCAGCAACATCAAATCAGCCAGATCCAAGCACCCCGCAGTCGTCTACCGATTCTCCAGAAACCCATACAAAGACGTCATCAACAACCACTATGGAACATCATCAGAAATCGACCGTCTCTGAACCACTCTGTGAGGGAGATACTACTGTTATCACCAATGCCCTCTCGCCTGATCTCGCCGCTCATGCCTTTGAGCGCCTTTTGGAAGAAGTCAGCTGGGCCGGCATGTCTCACTTGGGTGGTGAAGTTCCACGACGCATAGCCGTTCAGGGTGCCGTCGACGACGAAGGAAACATGCCAGTTTACCGCCATCCAGCAGACGAGTTACCACCACTTCTTCCCTTCTCTCCTACCGTCCTTAAAATCAGGAACGAGATCGAGAAGCACCTCGGCCATCCACTCAACCACGTCCTTATCCAGCACTACCGTAACAGCAGCGACTACATAAGCGAGCACAGCGACAAAACCCTGGACATTGCCCGCGGTAGTCACATTGCCAATGTCAGTCTCGGCGCTGAACGAACCATGGTCCTCCGCACCAAGCGACCACCCAAGGACAAGGACAAGAAGGATACGCCGGCAGCAGCAGCAGCAGCAGTAGGGATTTCTGAGAGTCCATCAGCAGCAGAAAAAGCCAAACGCCAAATCCAACGCGCCCCTCTCCCACACAACTCCCTGCTCCGTATGGGCCTCCAAACCAACATGCGCTGGCTACATGCCATCCGTCCCGACAAGCGCTCCGACCGTGACAAGTCTTCTTCCGAGCTGGTCTACTCCGGCGCACGCATCAGCCTGACCTTTCGACAGATCGGCACCTTCCTCAACGCTTCCCAAACCAAAATCTGGGGCCAGGGCGCCGTCGGGAAAACCAAAGAGGAAGCCCAACCGGTGGTAAACGGCCAAACTGACGAGGCGGTTAGGATGCTGCAAGCTTTTGGGCACGAGAACCATGTCTCCGAGTTTGATTGGGAGAAGAACTATGGAGCGGGGTTTAATGTTTTGCATATGGGCAGCCCGAAGAGGTTTTTTGCGGGTAGTGTCCAGGGGAGGGCGTGCACGGTGGAGAATACGAGGGTGGCGCTGGCGTTGGCGGATTTGGGGATTGGAGTGGCTAGGGGGGCTATTGACGCTTCTGGTGGTTTGGGTGAGGACGAGGAGGAGCAGTCTGAAAGAAGAGGAAGAAAGGTCAAGGTCGGAGTCAAGTTTGTGGATAACGATCCGGCGCGGACGGAGGTGGTTGGGGATGTCAGTATCCTGAGGTATTTGGATGCAGTGTACGGAGCGGGCAGGAGGTACGATCAGATGACACCCGCCCAAGTGGCAAAGAGGTTTGCGAGGCTGGAGGAGGCGGACGAGTTGTGGACGGCTTGGAGTTGGCTGCTTAAGAGGTCGGATAGGACAAAAACGGAAGAGAGTGGTGATGACAAGGTCAGCAGCACTTCTAGGGCGGAGAAGGTGAAGCAAGCAATGAGGGAGAAGAAGGCCTTGTTGAAGCAGTGGGAGGAATATGCACAAGAGGCTCATACTGCCGCGGCCAAAGCAGTTACTATGCCAACAGCATCTGAAGCAGAGACAAAAACCCAGCCAAAAGAACCAGCAGCGAAGGATCAGGACAAGCGTCACTTGACCCCTTTCTACATTTGCGGCGGCGAGGCTCCATCCCCAGCGGACTACGCCCTCTGGCCCGTTCTGCATGAGCTCGTCACCTACGTAGACGGTGACGAAGAAGTACTCTGTATCGGGGAGGGTTGCCTAGCCAAGTACTACATGGCTTTCAAGCAAAGGAGTGCTGTTGCCAAGGTGGTGCTTAGCGGTGGCAATACTCCTGCCTCTGCTAATGGTGGGGAACAAAAAAGGGATTTTGCTGCTGATGCTGAGGAGAAGGAGAAGGATACCGCCCCTAGTGCTGCTGCTCCTGCTGCTCCTGCTGCTCCTGCTGCTCCTGCTGCTCCTGCTGCTCCTGCTGCCCCTGGTGCTGCTGTTGCTGCAGAGGCAAGAAAGACAGTTGATACCGTGGTGGATGCCAATGCTGGCCTCAAGCAAACAGCAGCTTCGGCTGGCGAAGAGGTGGAAGTCAACAAGACAAGTGGAAGTCTCTCTGTTGTCGAGAAGGTCGAAGAAAATACAAGTGTGTGATAAGGAGAAGCACGAGGAGGAAGAAGAGACGGTTAGCGATGGAGAGGGTTAGTAAGTAGTAGACAAGGCGGTGTTACAACTAGAGTACTTGTTCTCCTACTGTTGTTGAGGAAGAAAGAATGGAAATGATACCAGAAATGCAGGACAAGGACAAGGACAAGGATAAGGACGGGAGGCAAAGGGGTTTTACTTGAACAAAAAGGAATGGAAAAAAGGTAACAGTAAGGATTGGAGGAGAAGTGAAGTG